TCAGAGTGCTACTCAAAATGGCACAGGGGATTTGGAACATTCACTTAAGTACCAAGCCATGGAGCTCAGGGGCCTCTTAAAATCTAGTACCATTCTTTAAATATACTCAGTGTAACAAAATGGATTCTAGCTCAGTAGTAGACAATCTGTTTCAGATGTAGATGTTTTTCCACTTTAATTGCTTATTTCTCAGTAAGACTGTGGAGATCTTCTGTCAGTCAGAATAGACAATATTGGGTTAATGGGACTAATAGTCTGAACTGGTTAATAGCAACTTCCTGTGCTCTTACAATTTTCTGGTCATAAATCAGATTATAAATCATACAGTGCATTTATCAAGCTTTTATATCAGGTATGGCATGTAGACTTTCTTCCTGTTCTGCTTTCCCAAAGCAAACTCAGGAAGGTTATATAAGTAGGTTTACTGTAGAGAACTAAGAAAACTTACATGTAAGTTTTCTTTCTAACAACATGCAGAAATCCTACCCTTTATGTTAGCCCCAAAGTTTCAGTCCCTCCTGCCATTCCAAGTCAATGGCTTTCTGGCCACACATTTCCTGGACTAAAGGTTACCTCCATAGTCCCTTGTTTACAAAGTGGCTTTCTCTGATGTGGCTCTCTGTGATGTGAGAATTGGAGAGTCCTGCCTCACCACCTTCAATCCCTTTGAACTTAATGGAATCTCGTTAAATGTTAACATTGTTCCTGAGAGACTAAAGATGCTGTTATTCCCCAAAAAACCTTACCATTGTTTGCTCTTCTGTGAGCATTCTTCTGAGTATAGACAGCTAGTTATGCCACACTAGAAGTAACAATAGCCTTGCTTCAGTCAGCAGCTTACGGGGTGGAAGGGGGAGTGCCTTTCAAAGGATATCTCTCAGCCTATACAACAGGTATTGTACATTCCTCAGTTCATTGTCAAAATGAGGGCCTGGTTGAAAGGGGCCCTGTTGTTAACTGCTTTTCATGAAAGGACTGTTTGTTTCCTTTCAGTGGACTTGAAACAGCCCGTCTTCCAGGCTGACCTTTTCCAACTGTGCTGATCGGATGGGAAATGCTGGTTCCCAAAGGCATCATATGCAAAATAAATATAAAATACACCCGCTCTACAAAAGGCAGTGTTGCAATAGCCATCAGTTAATCAAAGAGTTGGTTTAATGCAGTCTCCATAGCTTTGACCGTTTTCAGGCTCTCAGGTGGAAGCCACCTACTGGTTAGTAAAGGTATTGATATAGTATAAGTTTCAGCGCTTTTTTTAAAAAAAATAATTGATATGAATGTGTATGCCAGATACAGTACTGGCCCCCTCAGGCTGATAAGCAAATGAATAGCATTGCTTCTGCTATGTACTGTGGGTTTTTCCTTGAGTAATGAATTATTTTAATAGAAGTTTAAAATTTATAAACTCACATAGAAGCTTTTATGAGTATAAATGGCAGTTACACTTGCAGCAGTCTTATTCTCTTTGGAGCAGCATGTCATTTCTTTCTCTTAAATTCCATTTCTTAACACAATTATTCCAGAGCCTTGTATGCCTTATCATGCCCCTAATCCACACCTATTTCACTACTGTGAAAAGTATTTGTCATTTCCTGACTGTTTCTTCTACCTCCTGCTCCCCAGTTTTCATGTAATTCAATGCAAACTTAATATAGGGTTGTTGTTTTTTTGGAGGGAGGGAGGGAGGGAGGCAACCTGCAAGGTCGTGACAGGAATGCAGAGGCTTTCTAGGAACAGATTTGGCCCAGAGACAAACAAGACAAAATGAAACGTAGTCCTTGACATCTACTCTTATCCTCAGCCACCAGAACTCTCTGAGCACCTAACACAGAGTTTTAAATGTGCCTCCATGTCCAGCAGCTCTGTTGTCATGGCAGAGTTGCAATATTTCTTCCTTTAAAGGAGAGGATCATATAAATGGGCACTGTGAAACAGATGCCGAATATTTGAAGTAAAAGGTGAAGAATCAGTCTGTGAAGCTCCCTGGAGGTCCTCCATACAAGCCCTGCTATGCAACTGTTGCTGTTGCACTCTAATCTGATCTAACAGATCTACAGTCTGTCACCCTGCTCCAAATCTCTCAGAAGGGCCTAACCCCTGGGGAGAGGCAAAGTTGTTTGGCTGCAGTGTTGAGGAAGGAGGAGTTGAGTAGGGAAGGTCATATTCAGGTTTACGTGATAGGGCATCTGGAAGCTTGTTCTGTGAGCCAGGGTTTTCCATTCCAGAGAAGATATTAATATACTAGGATGTCATGCGTCAAACAAGTAAGGAAGTGTTTAGAAGAAAATGGCAACTAACTTGAATATTTAATGTAATTTATATAATAATTTGTCTATGGGGCCTGACTTTGTCTTTGGTACCTGACCTTTAGTACAGTCTCTGTATATTTAAAATATTAAAATATATAAATAAACTTAAGCCCAACCAATCCTAACTCAATAGATCTCAGGCTAGATATAATCAGTTGTTGTTTTTTTTAAATAAGCAACATAAAACACATTTAAGTCCTCTTATATATCTGGCAGTTGGGTGGATGTTGCTGACAGTGAGAAATGCTTCAAGTTTTTATGTTCATATGGCACAAAAATAACTCTTAGCATTTTTTTTCCCCTAAAACTGAAAAAAAAATTCTAGCATAAGTATTACTGAAATTTGGCTGCATCCATCAAAGGGTCTGCAGAAGATCTTAATGAAAACTACCATTGCTAAATAATTTGAAAAACTGATACTTTAGATAAATAGAATGGTTCTGCACATCTTTATTAGATATTTTTAAGCTTCCTGGAGGTTTAACTCTAGCAATTTAAGACTTCAGTTCAAGCTTTCTGTGAGTGGTTTATTTATCTGATAGACAGGCTTCTGCTTTGCCAGCAATGAAGTTTCCATGGATCATACATTTGGCTTAAAAATATCCAACTGCAGTTAACACCTAGAATCTAAGAATTTAAGTTAATTACCTCTTTCTATTTATACAAAGTAATTAATTAAACCAAATCCTTTGGTTACAATTATTGACGCTTTTTTTAAAAAAACCAAGAAACAATATAGCAAAGTATTAGATCCCTCTACAGCCATAACCTCAGAGATAATTTTAGTTGGCATGTTGATTTATAGCCTTTTCAGAGACTGCCAGTGAACGATATTCTTCAGCATTCAGAGAGTCCTGCTATAGCCTAGAAGAGGTTTTCCCATCCTTTGCCCATATTCAAGACTAATAGCTAAATACAGTTAGTTTAAAATAAAAACTCTGTATCTACGCATGGTTGCCTTGACAAGGGAGCTTGCAACTGTGAGAGATATGGTGTGATTTTACAATCAAACCAGGCAAATTTGAGAATATATCCACAATTAACAAGCTGTTTAATTTGCATGAACTGCTTTGCCAGAGGTGCAGACTTGTGGCAAACCCCCACAGAATGTATGGAATTAACATAAACATTAAAGAGGAGTCACAGTCCAATGCAAGTTCATGCCTTTTTATTTTTCATCTTATTCAAGGAGTCCTGTATGTCCAAGTGGATTCATACGCTTACTGTTTGAAATAGTTTATAAATAAGATCAGGAAATAATAGTGTTGTTAATACTTACATAGACTTTTAAAAAATTAAGTACAGACTTGCTTTTTTAAAAGGCAGCTGTCCCAATTTAAATTCTCAAAAGAAAACCATAAATTAGATTTTGGTCCATTCTGTTTACTGTTTCTGTCTTTGTTATACCTACAACCTTAACACTGATTCCAACATTACCCTTCTTTCATGTGGCTTGCCTTTTCTAAAGCTTTAGTATGTGGTCTTCCTGCTCTTTGATTTTGTAGTGTGGATTATTGATGTATCATGGGATGGTTTTATGTACAATTTCACTTTTTGCAGTTTTGCTTTTGGAGGAAATTGAGGAAAAGACTGTTTAACGACTGTTTGAAGTTAGGACGGTGCTGAAAAAAGTGACTTATGACCGGTCCTTGCACTTAAAACCGTTGCAATGTCCCTGTGGTCACACGATCAAAATTTGCGCACTTTGCAACTGGCATGTGTTTACAATGGTTGCAGCGGCCCAGGGTCACATGATCACCATTTGCAATCTTCCCTGGAGGCTTCTGATAAGCAAAGACAGATACAAAGATACAAAAAGAATTTAATAGCGTTCATCCTCTTCTATAACTGTATTTTAATTCCCTTGTTATCAGATGATCTTTTATACCTACCTTTATAGACAGTTTCTTAGTCCCACTCTAGTTAATGGATTTGTTGTTTAAACTTATCATTGGCATCCACAAGGGAGCAAATGATGACGCATGTGATGACAACATGTAAATGCTATAACTTATGTAGGGATGCAAATATATAAGTATGTCATTGTGTGATGATGTCATTGTATGTGTTTTTGGCATCAGTTTGCTGTGGATGCTGCTGAAACTTTTTACTGTATTTGGGAAATGGTATGCTAATTAAGCATTTTTCTTGTGTGTAAAATATCTGGAATAAGGTGGCTCCCTTATTTTTAACATCCTTTTATTTGCTGTTTTATTTTGCTTTTTATATTTTTAGTGTATTTATTGATTGTTTTTAGCTTTGTTGTACACCGCCCAGAGCTGCCTGTGGTGAGATGGGTGACTATATAAATTGGTTAAATAAATAAATAATAAATATTGTGGCAAGATAAAATTTATATTGCTTACTCTTAAATACTTGTTTTGGAGATAATTTTCATTAATTTTTGTAATTTTGCTAAGATATAGTTTTCAGTTAAATTTATGTACACAACCATTGAATTATGCATGATCAAGGACATGAGCAGCAGTGTCTTGTTGCAAAGACTAACGGACATGAAGCTTTCATGGATTGGATGCATAAGATACCTTCCTTAGTTGACAGTATTATAGAAAATTCTGACAGCAGTAGGATAAAATTGAAGAGTAGTTATAGGATAGAAGGTAAGCATTGGGATAAACTTAAAAACACCTATAAACTGTTTGGATCCTTTTCTTCATCTCTTTTCTTCAGATGACAGAATCTGTTCTCCGCCATTTATGGAGTTAACAAATGCATGTGGAGAAGACACCTTGAAGCAAATAGAAAAAAATGGAATTGCATTCCCATTCAGTATGTGAACAGTTTTTATGTTTTACTTAATAGTGAAGTTGTAGAGCATTTCCCCCTGACTACCACTGAAATGAATACAATTTAGCTAACTAAGGTACTCTTGGGGGAAGGGAGGGGACTTGCACAGCAGATAGCTTGTGTCTTGGTGTACATGCTGGATTTAGGCACACTTGATCCAAAGGCACACCTGGTAAATAACATAAAGGGACATAAAATGGTATGCTTTTATATTAGAATGATTAGAAATGAACTGCGGATCTAGCTGTGCTCCATTCTAGCTCTTTTAACTTTGAAAATAAGTATTTTCTTATGGTGACAATGAAAGATGGCTTATTCAGATGATAACAGTCCTGTTATATTAAAGCAGTGTTCATCTGATCCACTATCCAGCTTATACAGAAGCCAACCAGATGCTTTCCTGAAGTCCTTAAGCAGAACATGAGGACAATACCGCTTTCTATGACAATCAGAATTCAGTGACTAATTTTTTGTTCCATGAATTTGTTTGATCCTCCTTTAAAAATCAGATACATCCTTTACCCTGTATGTGTGCATTTTGTGCAATAAATATAATATGAAAATTCCTTCTCTATGTACCATAGTATGCTATATTTTCTCCTTTTCATTCTCTCTCTCTCTCTCTTTCTCTATCCCTGCTATTTTGTAGATGAATTTCCAGAATTATTTTTGAAGTTCTTGTGTGTCTCTTCTTATTTCAGTGTTCATATTGATGGTGCTTGTTTACTAAAAAAAAAGTCCTAATGCCCATTTAAAACTACAGAGTGATATTCTAGCACATTGAGAACTATTTTCTTGGCATTTTTTAAATATGCTAGACTATATTATTATGGATTTTAGTATACATATAAATGTAACTATAACATATTAAATGTACTACAGTATATTAATGTAAGTATAAGTTCTCTGGACAAGTTAAAAATATGCAACATTAATGTATTAAGCTATAGAACAATTGAACTATACATTTTAAACTGAGATTCTCAGACTACCAGTTATTTAAATGGCTCTAATGATGTCAAGTGATCATAAAGATTAAACCTGGCAAATTTCTCTAGGAGCACTGTTCTATATTTGGAATGCCACTCCAAAAAAAGCCATCCCTTTTCATCTTGCTTTTTTGGGAAAGGGCTTTTTAAAGAAATAATAACAGATGCATTAATGTTCCAGTAGAATTAACATAGCTATCAGAGGCTTAACATATCTATTTTCACAACATTTAAAAAAAAAAGTTCAACAGTTTGTCACTGAATTATAGTGGCATCATCTTGAAAGAGAAACAGTGGCTACATGTAGATGTTGGACTAGGATTGGGAAGGTCTAAATTCAAGTCCCCAGCTTAACTAAGGTGTGAAGTAGTTAGTTATTTCAGGTCAGTCACTGTCTCTCAACCCAGTCCATCTAACAGGGTGATTGTGGGAATAAGATTAGAGGAGATCCCTGTGTAAACTGCCTTGATCTCTTAGAGCAGTATTTCTCAGTCTTGACAACTTTAAGATGTGTGGACTTCAACTCTCAGAATTCCACAGCCAGCTTGCTTGAAATCCACACATTTTAAATTTGCCAAATTTGAAAAACACTGTCTTAGAGTGTTGGTGCCAGACTCCATCAATGAACCATAGGTTGTCCATTCCTTCTTAAGAACTTCCTTGTCCACTTTGATGCCATCCTGGATATTCTAAGAGTTGAAGTACAAGTACCTCTGAAAGCACCAGACTAGGGAGTGCCAGTGTCAAGGGGAGGGCAACCATAGGCTGAATACCATCCAGCTGGCTGGATTCACTAAGTGAACAGCACTAGAAACTAATTGTCAGGAACAGTACTGAAGTGCTATGTGTAAATCCTTTTGCACTGACTCACAATTTACCTTTTTTTTTATTACTGGAAGTTTGTAAGACAAGAGTCGCCCATGGAACCAACTCTCATGAGGTGAGTATTTCCATAGGGCTCCATATACTGTGTACAGGTAGTGCTCACTTAATGACCACAATAGGGACCAGAAAATTTGTCATTAAGCAGGGCAGTCATTAAGTGAAACGTGACTGCACCCAATTTTACAGAATTTTTTGCGGTGGTTGTTAAGCAAATCACGCAGTTCCCCATTGATTTTGCTTGCCGGAAGCCAAATAAGAAGGTCACAAATGACGATTGCGTGACCCCGGGACACTGCAAACTTTGTAAGTGCGAGCTGGTTGCCAAGCACCGGATTGCAATCAGATGACTGCAGAGACGCTGCAACAGTGATAAGTGCAAGGACTGGTCATAAGTTACTTTAGCGTTGTAACTTTGAATGGTTGTTAAGCAAGAACTACCTGTATTTAGAAAAACTCTCTTGATTGGGAATTGAGAGAAAAACGATAGTACTCCAGCTGTTAGTTTGATTCATAAGTCTCAAGGAAAAGTAAGCAGGTTTTATCCTTGTTTTCTCTCATGTCTACTTAGAAGTCATTCTTCATATCCTCATGGTTTCATTATTATCACAAGCCTCTTTTTTTCTCATTTTGAAGGCCAGTTTTTATTTATTTATATTTATACACATACACACACACACACACACACACCCTCATGCATTTATCTCTATCCATCTATCTGTCTGTCCATCCATCATTTGTTTATTTATTTGCAGTTTTTATAATCCATCCCAACCCACAGATTTTAGGCAGCATATGTCAGAATAAAACATAAAAGAGAAAGACATAGAATGAATAAATATCCCAAGATGGTTGCCACTAATTAATCAACTTGGGTAAAAAAACAGTAGAATAGGATTTTGACAACTTTACAAAATGCCAGGAAGGAGGGGGCTATAGGACCCTATGAAGAGAAGGCATTTGAAAACATGGGGACCACAACAGAAAAGTCCTGCCACTTAGTCCCCTTAACATGGGGTGGGGGGAGATCTTATCACAATGTTCTTACTGCATGAGCAGGTTCAAGTCTGGCAAGGGAGTGCCTTGTCTAACCTAGTGCAATGCTATATAGGACTTTGTAGTTTATGATCAGCACTTTGAGTTGGCACCAGAAACCTAGTGGTAACTAGTACAGAGATTTTGACAATGGTATTGCCCTGCAGTGGTGGGGTACCCCGTCACCAGTTCAGCTGCTACATATGAATCAGCTGCAGCTTCTGGGTCATCTCCAAAGGCATCTCATCTCAAATTGGTAGATGACCTTTCTCACCAGTTTCATAGAGACGTTAAATAACAGGGGAGAGCACCAAACACTGTGATGCCTGCATTGGAGCAACCATGGTTTCTAGAGTTGTCATCTTCCCCACCCCAGTGATCACAGACTGGAACCTCCCACTCAGATAGGAGCAGAAGCGCTGAAGTACAGTGCCACTGACTCCCAACTCTTGTAGGTGACCCTGCAGATACCATGGTCAGTATTATTAAATGCTGCCAAAAGTTCTCATAAGACCAAGAGAAGTAAACTCTCCCAGTAATGAACGATGAAGGTCATACACTAGGATGACTATTGCCATTTCCATCCCATTACATAACTGCTTAATTCTGCATTTTATTGTAAATCATTTTGAGATGCTTCGGTATAAGGAAGCAGTAGATAAGCATAATTAATTAAGTTTGGGGAGAAGGCCAATAAGAAATCAGCTGCAAGTTGAATAGTCAGACAGCAAAGTGTTTCCAACTGGATAGCACAGTTGTGCATCTTCCCTCCCTCCCGCCTAGTTTATCTGAAATACTAGGCATAAAAGCATAAGAAGAGCTTTGCTGAATCAAGCAAACCTCCCAAACACTTCAGCATCATATGTTCCACAGTGATCAAGCAGCTGCATTCAAGAAGCTCACAAAGAAGGACAGGAAGGCATAACATTCTTCCATTCCTGTTCCCTAGCAGCTTGCATTTAAGTTTTGCTACCTCTAGTCATCAAGACTGATAAACACTGACAACCCAATCCTCCATCAATTTGTGCAATCCCTTTTAAAACCATCTAAATGTATAGTAATCGACACAAGTGATAGCAGCGAATAATTGTATGTATGCATGCATTGCTGTGCATACAGCTAGAGGAACCATCCATACAGTGCTTGTGTATGTGAAATACATGCTTATGTCATCTGATGTGTATGAGTGTAATTGTAAGTCATATCTTTATTTTTCAGATGGCTATCATATTCAACCGGGAAGGCCTGAAAGCCATCCATCCTCCATGTGTGATTCAGAGTTTTATCAACCACAATGCCGTCCTGTATAAAGTCTTTGTGGTTGGGGAGTCATATACTGTGGTGAAGAGGCCCTCTGTGAAGAACTTCTCAGCGGGCATTTCTGGTAGGCTTTGGGAATGGCAATTCAACATGTGTACTAGTGGGAAAATCTGCAGAATAGCATTTTCCAGCTTGGTGAATCCTGATCCAAAACATGGAGGACATCAGGTTGAGGAAGACTGAACTCAGCATTTCTCTGACTTTTTGGACTTTTGATATTTTTTGAATATCTCCCTCACCTTCCCAAACCCTTGTAGCGGTAATTTCTTTGGCAGATGAACAACTGCTCTTTGCCAACAGCTGCTATATGCATTCTGATTTATGTACTGAAGTACTAATCTCAAACTGGAGAAAAAGGGGAGAGCATCACAGACTTCTTCCTAAAATAAGCAAGTCAAGATGGAAGGAGAAGAGTTCGTTATGAGTAGGAGCTCCTGCATGCTTTTAACTCTGTGGAGCTTCCATAGAAGTTTTAAGATTATGGCATCATAATTCTGTTGCTAGATGCAGTTGGTTTGAAGTTCTGTTGGATACTTGGCCCTAACGATCCCCACTCAACCTCCCCTCTAAGACTTTTAGAAAAATTTTCCCTGCATGGCACATGCCACCTGAACTTTATTGTAAGCCATCCAGAGTCACATTTTGTGAGAATGGCAAAATATATAAATATGATTGATTGGATTGATTGATTGATTGATTGATTGATAGACCACTATGTTACTCTTTCTTGAAGGCTTTGACATCTTATTCATATGCTGTCTGCTTGAAATCATATTAATGAAATATTTAAATTGGTTCATAACATCTAGATAGTCTTTTGTTTCTATATCTGTGAATTATAATATAGCATTCAAGAAAAATGCACTGAGCTAAAACTTTCTGTGGTTTCATTTATTTTTTTCTTCACTCCCTGTGAACAAAAATTCTTGGAAGCTGTAATGGTACTTTTCGTGTCTGCTTCTCATTTAACTCTTTATGTTGAATCACTGTCAAACATGCTATGTTGTGGATGATTTATAAATATTTTATTCAAAGGCTAGTTTGCAAAATAGCAAGATGAAATAAAAAAAAATTGCTAAAGTCACAAAATCCAAAAATTAATTCAAATCAAGATAACAAGCCATAATGTCAAAAATAATTAGAATTGGTATGAAAAGTATAGTTTCCTTTGAGTTGAGTTCGTTCCTGGTGATTTCATGAACAAGTACATGCCATGTTCTTAACATTATAAAAGTGATTTGTCACTGAATTCTTCTGGGATTTTTTTGAACTTCACCATCTAGATTACAGTTGTGGTCATTCCTAGTAGTCTCCCATTCAAATACTAATACTGCTTCTTCTCTTCTCTTCTCTTCTCTTCTCTTCTCTTCTCTTCTCTTCTCTTCTCTTCTC